GAACTGTTAGTCAGACAGAACATGCAAGAACTGTTAGTCAGACAGAACATGCAAGAACTGTTAGTCAGACAGAACATGCAAGAACTGTTAGTCAGACAGAACATGTGAAGAACACATGAAGACATGTTAACATGTCAGAAAAAAAACACTAAATGTTTGGCATGTCAGAGAGAACACGTTACCAGGACGGCTTTCTGTGGTCAGAACTTGGAGAAGGACTCTGGGAGTTCACAGACACCAAATCAGGATCAGAATCTAGACCAGGAGCAGGACTGGGGCTGCCTAACTCAGATTGTCTTCAGGTGATGAAGAATGTTCACAGAAAAAGAAACATCTAATCAAGATCATCCAGCTGGGACCACTCAGGGTTCTTCTGAGTCCGGTGGGTCATTACCGGGTCATCAGTCCTCAGATTTAAAGTTCCTGGACTTCTGAAACTAAAGGTTTCAGTGGAGGAGACTTTAGTTTACAAAGCAGGAAAACAGAGAAGTTCTCCTGCAGAAACTGGTTTCAGGTTCTGGATTGTCTGAAGAGAACAGGAACCAGATCCAGGTTCAGGAGCAAGAACTGGATCAAGACATGCTTGATTTAAAGTGGATGGGTCATTAACAGGTTACATGTCCAGAGGGGGGACAGTGGTTTGGACATGTCCAGAGGGGAGACAGTGGTTTGGACATGTCCAGAGGGGGGACAGTGGTTTGGACATGTCCAGTGGGCAGAAAGATGTTAGAGCTGCAGCTGCCAGGATGCAGTCAGAGAAGACATGGAGGTTTGGAGTGAGGACAGGGGACAGAGTGAGGACAGAGTGAGGACAGGGGACAGAGTGAGGACAGGGGACAGAGTGAGGACAGGGGACAGAGCAGGATGTCTCACTGCAGTGAAAGAAGGAAAAAGGTGAATTTGTTTGTCACTTGTTTTAAACTCTGTTGTCAACACTGAGGACACTGATGGGGGGACAGGGACCCCTGCTGGTGAGGAAGAAAAATACAGGAGACACAAAATCTGACCTGAATAATGTGAAGAAAGAGATTTTTTAAGAAGAAAAATAACTTTAATTTGAACTTGTTTTTATAGAAATAACAACAGATGTAAGGCGTCCTTCCAGACGTCTGAGCCAAACTGCAGCTGGAGACGGTGAGACGACCTTCAGACGGTGAGGAGGAGGAGGATGAGGAGGAGGAGGAGGAGGAGGAGGAACCAGGGTCAAGATAAGAAGAGGCCCAGGAGAAGAGGTTCCACCTTCTTGAACCTCTGAGTGGTCCTTTTGAACTGGACAGGAGTACGGTCTCTCTGAAGGATTTTAAAGGTGCTACAGCGTCACACTCAACCTTGTTCACATGTTTAATGTGTGACATCATCATCTTACATCAGAACACGTAACATATCAACAGATCATGGAGCAACATCACCTGCACAGGTGGGAACCACTCAGCAGGTGAAGCAGGTGACAGCTGTGGACACGTCTTTTTTGTATTGTTTTGTTTTTTTGTTTAGTTTAGTTTAGTTTTGTGTTGTTTTTCCTCAGGTTGTATGTTTTACATTCAGCATCACTCTGTTACCATGGAAAAAAAGGCACTTTGGCTGAGAGGCACTCAGAGCGAGAGGTCAGAGGTCAGAGGTCAGAGTGAGAGGAAGAGGAGGAGCTCTTCTCTGATTGGCTGTAGGAGAAAGGTGATGTTAAGGTGTGTTTGTGTTTCAAGCGAGGGGAGGAGTGAAGAGTTTGTTGTATTCTTCTTCAAAAGAGACTTTCTTCAGACGCTCCAACGACAGCAGGCTGACACCTCCCTACACAACACACAACAACACGCAACAACACACAACAACACACAACGTGTAACCCCACAAAAACACACACAATCCATGACAACACACGGAGATAAGAACATGTCAGATGTAACATGTTAAAGAAGTTTAAACTCATGATTAAAGAGATGCTTGCAGGCTGGACAGGTGTGGATCGTCTTGTCTCTGAGGGACACACCTGTCCTCTGAGCTGGGCGTGGCAGCAGGTACGTACCCAGGTGAAGATGGACAAGAAGCAGAAGACGATGGCGGCTCTGGCGGCGTCGGCGCCTTCGTTCAGAGGGTTGTCCTCGGCTTTAGAAACCTGCCACTGATTGGCCAGAAAACAGAAGCCCACGAACCAGACCAGAGACCAGACAGCTGCAGGGACACGGGAAAAACACACACACACGTTGTCACACCTGAACAGGTACGTCACAGAGCGAGGGACGGGGCAAGTCTCACCTGACATGCCTATGTCGGCCACGACAACCTTCTTCCTGTCCTTCACACCGCTGATCTGAGGAAAATAAGCATCCAGCGCCAGGAAAGCGGTGCTGCAGAGGAAGCACAGCATCCCCACAGCAACGGCGAAGCTGCAGGCGCTCTGGTTCTGGTTGAAGATGCAGAACTCCTCCACCGCCTCGGGTCGGTTCACGTAACCCTCGTTAGCAACGCAGCCCAGGACCACGATGGAGAAGAGCTGGAGACAGAGAGGAGTTCAGGGTCTGGACTGACGTCAGCTTGGAGGTGGCAGGTGAAGATGAAGATGGTGAATCCCATCTTTRTGCAGGGGATTCTGATGTTATCAGTCCATGAAATGGACGTTATTAGGCGTTGTCAGTCCCATACGATGGCTTCAGAGGGTCCCTACTGTGCCTTCAAGGCTTCAGACTGTCCCAACAGTGCCCCCTAGTGGGTTAATGTATCAATGACAATGAATGTGTAAATAACCAAAAGAAATTGTAATAAATTATTTGTATCCATCTCGAACCCTGGACTCCCACTCTGGTCCAACTCTCTACCCTTTGCCCTGTTGGAAGGCTACAACATACAAGCGTTGGAGGGCGGGKTCTTTGGCGCTAACCATGTCATTTGCTCTAAAGTTAACCTTAGTGGCTTTAAGCCTCATATTAACCAGCTGACAATCGGAAGCCATTCTACGGGACGGGGGAACCTGCTAACCGGCACAGGCGGGACATTCTGAAGCCATTCTAGGGGACTGATAACACCTAATAACGCCCATTTCATGGGTGATAACATCCGAAGCGGGTGCTTTATGCCGATGATACGGTTATTTATTGTTCACCTTCATCATTTAAACATTGTTCAGGCTGTCTGGGCTTAAACTCGTTCTCAAAGGCTGTGCTATTTTCTCATGGCTCCACCTCTCCTCCCCAGCTCGTTAACTGTTCAGTGGGTTCAAACTGAGGTCATCAGGTGCTACAAATATTTAGGTATTCTGATTGATCAGAATCTATTCTTTAAAACTCACATTGATAAACTGGTGTCTAATCTAAATCTGGGTTCTTTTTTAGGAACAAAAAGTGTTTCTCACACCAAGTTACCTCAAGTCTTCTCCCTCTGGTGGACGATGGAGATCTGATAAAACTAGATGCTGTTACTCCCTGTGTTCTGTGTTTAAYGACAAACTGTAACTGTCACACCACTGCACTTTGGATGCTACAGCACATCCTTGACTGATCAGACTCTCACTGGCTGATTTTGATCTATAAATGCATTCTTTGTCATCCTCCTGCATATTTATGCTCATTTCTGTCTGGAACCTGCAGTCMTTATGATCACACTATGGTCATCGTGCTGTCAGGACATCGTTATGACGCAGGCGCCAAACGTTAGAACTGAACTGGGTCAAAAGGCTTKTAGTTTTTCTGCTCCTGCCACCTGGARTGATGCACAGAAAGATTTAAAGTTACCATCTCTCATTACCTTTGGGACATTTCAAATCAATTTTAAAGGACAGAAACGTCAGATCATTATCATTATCATTATCGTTATCACAACAAAACCATGGATAAAATTTATCTGAGGTAAACGTCCGCTCTCAGCTTTTGTAGTTTTATGTACAGTTGTAAAGTAACTAAGTACAAATACTTTGTTACTGTAGTTAAGTAGAATTTTTGGGTATCTGTACTTTAC